AGATCGACTCGATCTTGGCTCGATAAATACTCGGATTGAATGAACTCGACTCGAGCTCGAACTCGACTCGAGCTCGAACTCGACTCGAGTTCTTAACGAGCCGAAACGAGCTACTCGATACTCGACTCGAAAAGCTCGTGAGCAGCTCGAAAAAATGTTATATTATAATTTTAGATTTTTTAAAATTACATTATTAAAAATATATTAAAAATACATTATTTATGAATAAATATTCTTGAATTAAAAATGGTTAAATTTTTTTTTGAATAAAGTTTCTTATATTTATTTTAAATTAATAAAAAAATTATTTATCTAATGACAAATATTTAATATATTTCTAATGATAATATTTGTAATAACTAATTTTTTAAATTGTTGTTATATTTTGAGGTTTTGAGTTCAAATATCATAAATATCAATGGTTTAAGCATTTAATATAAATATACTATATTATACTTACCTCATAACTAATTTTTTATTTGATAATAAATATAATATAATAAAAAATATGATTCAATTTAAATATTAATAATTTAAAAAATATATATCAAAACAAGTATACTCTCTCTCCTTTCACTAAGCCATCACATTCCTTTCACTAAGACATATATGCACATTGAATGTGAATTTATAGTTGTCCTAATCTACTGTTTGAAATTTTGGATGACCAATGGATGACCAAAAAGATCTTAAAATGCTAAAAGGAAGGCTTTGCCGCTAAGTTTTAGCATGCTCACACCAATGGCCTAGCAACAAAGTAACAAACTACATACCGTCGGTGTTCGACAATTAAATCAGAAATGAAAAAAAGTAAATAACTGCAAGGCTTCTTCGATCAGGACATCAGGTATTTGAAATTTTGTTAAACTGACTTAATTAGACTTATAAGAATTTACAAATATAGAAAACATCTTGATGGTTCACAGCTAAACTTGAATACAAATATAAAATGATGGAAAAAGAAGGCTCACTAGAAGTCTCATCCTACAGGCTAATGAGTCATCATAAAAATATACAAAAGAAACTTACTTCCCACTTTCCAGAATTGAATTACCATATAAACAAATAGCAAAATTATTATCAACTCCACTCAACCCATTGCAGTTCGTCATCTACAGCTGCATTAAGTCATACCATTAAATTGATAGTTTCATATATTAATTAGGCTACAAGTTTTTGATGAATTCCATTCCGAGGTGATAATGCCTCACCCATAACATAAACTATATGAGAATCCTAATAAAATGATTAAACAAATCATTTCATTTTCATTAAACCCTACACCCTACACCCTACACCCTACACCCTAAATCATAAAACCATAAACCTTGAAATTAAGCCTTAAACATTAGATCCTAAACCCTAAACCCTAAGACCTAAGGCCTAAACATAAACCTTATACTGAATGTAAACTTAAAATACTAAACCCTAAACCCTAAACTCTAAACTCTAAACCCTAAACCCTAAATACAAACTTTAAATCCTAAAACCCTAAATCTAAACTATAAACTACAAATACTAAACCCTAAATAATGATTAAATTCAAAATATTGAACAATTGAAAGTTGAAATTAAACCTAAATGATAAAATTAATAAACAATAAGAGACTTGTTTTACAATAATATATATCAATAATTATATATATTTGATTTGACTCATATCTTAAACCAAATTAACTTGAAGATCTAAATTTTAGCCATAATAAAAAACTAGTCGATTTGTTATTGACACGACCTGAAAATTTATCGATTTGATATTAACCTAACTCAATATTTGATTAGACCTAAACAACTTACTATAAACTTGAATTAAATAAAAAATGAATTCGTTTTGACATCAATTGAATTGGATATAATTTATATCCAAAATAACTTTATTCAAACTTGATTCAAACAATCTGATTAGTACCTAAATTCAGTTTTATATTTGCAATCACATAAAATAAATTCTCGTGTCACATTACAAAATTAAAAAATATAACAATTAAACCAAAACTACAAGATTTTAAAATTTGAAATTTCATAAAAAAACAAAACAAATTATTCTCTCGGATTAATAAAAGGAATTATTCCCAATGACAAACATTCTCTTGAACCTCATTCCAACATTGGAAGCTAACAAGCAAGAAAACCTTAAATCCCGAGCTATTTCTGACAAGCTACATAAACACATTATTTTGGGGAATTTATTTTAATAAAAAAATCAAAATGGAACTTGCTTTAAGTACTTCCAAAATCTTTGTCGGGCATGCCATGTATTTTCCTATTATTATTATTATTATTATTATTATTATTATTATTATTATTATCAAAATGTGAGCTGTTTCTTTGTACATTTATAACGTGTAAACGAGCTCCATCACCCCAAAAAAATCAATTAATAATTGATTATTGTTGAGCTGTCCAAGAACATGCTAGCGTCATTGTTTATGGTCGTGTTGGGAACTGACAAAAGAGAGTTTATTTTTTCTATTGATGCCTTTCTCGGTTCCTCAGGTTTGCCCCTTTCCCTTTCGTTTTCATTATGATCCGTCTGATTTTTTATTGCAATTTTGAATTTTCATTTTCAATAATTAATATGCTAATCGTTTTAAGATTAGTTAGAAGAAGATACAAATGTTCATTAGAAAACCCCACTCTACCGTGCTTTCAAAACTGAGGAATCGAAGCATTCCGTCCCCATTGTTCGTCTAAATGCTTGCGTCTGTGTGTTGGCGAACTTTGACTATACTTTCATGTCCCGGCTCGCACGACCGAATAGTACCTTTCCCCTCTGGTGAGTTTGTTTATGAGTTTATGAGTTTGTTTATCTTTAAATAAATATTCCTTTAATTTTTTATTTATATTGTCACTTGTATTTTTAGATATGTCTAGTGAACCACAAAGTTCTTCAACACCCATTGGTGTTTCAAGAGTTGAAGAGTTTTTTGTGAATGTTGATGATGAACATAACAAAGAAGAGTGCAATATAGAAGCTTCTGAACCTACTTTGACAGCATAACAAAAGAAGTTGAGGTTGAAAATTCTTTCCAAGCCTTTAAGAGACCAAGAAGATCAAAGGTGTGGGATGATTTCTTAGAACCTGAAATCATAAACGAACAAAGTAAGGTGCTATGTATGGAAGCTTGGACATGTTACTGTTTTTTTTTTTTGTGAATTTGAGTTTTGTGGTACATGAACAGTAGATTGAAATATTTTGTTGCTGGATTTTGTGTTTTCTATGGAAGATTTGCCTTTGTATTTTGAGTTTTGAAACACTATTTTTATGGAAAAAGTTGTTGTTTTGCTTTGGGGAGGATTGTAAATAGGTGCCTGCTGTGGGCACATGTTTAATCTTATGTGTTTAGAACTTGTTCTACAACCATAACTACTCTTGTATGCATCCTATAAAGTTTCTGAAATGAGTTTATATTATCATAAAAAAAATGGATTGTGATGGTTGATTAAAGAGAAAATTATTTATATATTTTAAATGTAATATAAGATTTTTGTAGGTTCAAATTTGAGTTCGAGCTTGAATCGAGCTCAAAATCGAGCTTCAATCGAGCTCGAGTCTCGAACTTCAATCGAGCTCATGAATTTTTTTTGAGTTCGAGCCTTTTCGAGTTTGAGTCGAGTTTCAATATTATCTTTCGAGTTTGAGTCGAACTTAAAAATTTTAGGCTTACGAGTTTTCGAGTCGAGGCTACATTTAAAATTTTCGAATTCGCTCGAGCTCGACTCGACTCGTTTACACCCCTATTTCTGCATGTTAGGATTTTATAGAATGGGCGGCATGAGCTTGGCTTACGTAGCTTGAATAAATATCTTTGTTTTGGAGTGGAGAAATCGGAAACCGCTAACTATATTAATCTATTTAATATTTGATTTGTCAGATCTCAGATATTTACTATAACTTTTTGTATACGAATCTGTTATTGTCCCTTCTAGAAGCCCTCGTACTAAATTAAAATAATACGGAGATTTAAATACCAATGTCAGAGAGTGGATCAAAGTGAATAAGGCAATCTATATTTCGTCCGTTTCTAGTTAATTTTCATCGAGTTTAAGGTTTTAGTGACATATTTCGCCTAATAATTTATAAATTAGTAATTTATTCATACATTATATTCTTTGACAGAAAATTCTAATATATTTAATATATAACGCCTGAACCGTTCATTGTGGAACAGAATGATTTGCAATTATTATTATTCTTTTGAGTGTGTGAATCTGTAATTATTGAAATTATGATAACGAACATAAAAAAACTCAGATACATACTCAAATTTTAATTATTTTTGTCAAATAAAAAGTAAAACTAAATATATTTAAATCTTTAATATTTTTAAATTTATAAATAGGAAAAATCTGAATAATATAAAATTATTATAAAATTAAACATCATTAAATATCTAGTCACTTTATCATTTTGATTCTAAAACTGGATTTTTATTAGTAATTATTATTAAATGTTTAGATTTTATATGGTTGATGTTAGTATTAAATTCAGTGCCAATCTATTAAGAAAAAAAATCATTTTATAAATAATAATTTATTTTAAATAAAGTTAGATATTTCAATTTTATGATGTGAATAAAAAATAAATCTATAATAAACTTTTATAGTATTCAATTTAAATTAATCAATACATTAGATATCAACTATTACATAAACATAAATAAAGAATATATAAAATGAAAAACATGAATTTTAAAAAATTATATACATAAATACGTTCTTTCGCGTAACAAAAGATAATTATATTTTAGAGTGGAAAGAAGATCGTAATCTTATCCCCAAGTTTCAATCATAAAGATATATAAAAAAAAAGTGAGATTAGATATTTTGAAGGGCCAATAAATATCTGCCTGCCGTATTCGCCAGCCCTAAGAAATGACGTGGCAAAGTGAAGGTCCCATGACACGTGTAAAAGCGATGACAACTGTAACATTCTTTGGTCCCCTCCTCATATAATATCTTCTCCCCTGCCATTTTTTGTTTCTCTTATTCTCCTTTCTCCAATCTCAAATATCTCTCTTCTTAAAACAGAAGCAAACTTTGTTTCTTATTCTAATCTTTCCGACACGGGATTTTTTTTGCATGGAGGGTTTTAGGAGAATTGAGTCTCGGACGAGTTCAGAGTCTTCTGCCTCTGAGTTGACTCCTCAGACATCACCCGAGTTTGCTCAAAATCCAAGCCTGGTACACCCTCTTCTTCTTCTTCGTAGATCTTTTATGGTTATTAATTTATGCATCAACTAATTTGAATCCTGGGTTTCGTTTTTTCCCCTTGTTTGAAGGAAGTAAATTCGAGTGACATGGGTTTAGCATTTAAATCAGCTAAATTTCCGAGCTTCACTTTAAAGCAAATAATAATAAGCCTCTTTACACGGTGAATTATTAAAATTTTCAGTCATGCATATCCTTTTGGTTTTTATTAATAACGTTTCTGTTGACCATTAAAACTAAAGTTTTAAGAAAAAAGGCAAGTATTTATCATTAGACGTTTTTAACTTCAAAGTAGTTTTGATTGTTGGGTGCTATTAATTGAGGATTTGTAACTTGGAAGCGTAGAAAATTGATTATCCCTTTTATTTCTTCAAGAAGTTAAGCCACCTCACATATTTCATGGTATTGATGCTGTAGATATAGTTGGCTCTAATGGGGTTCCTTAATTATATGTTTTCCATTTTTAATTTGGATTGTTTTTTTCTTTATAATATGTTTTTTTGCAGAGTTTTATTATTTTTTTTACTTTGGGAGAATTTACTAATCATGGCTGTTAATGATAACAGGATTCTCTGATAACAGAATCTACCTCTACAGAATGGACAGATGAGAAGCACAGTTTATACCTTAAATCCATGGAAGCATCATTTGTTAACCAGTTATATGATTCAATGAGTTCTCTTGGCTGGAACTCAAAGGACAAATTGCCAGGATCAAAATCATCAAGGAAAACACATTGTATCTCCTCAGGCCAGGTTAAAGTTCAATCTCTGCTTCTTGATAATGATGGGGATGCCTCTCTATTTCCTATGTCAAATCTTATTTGCTGCATGTTCCAATCTTGAAACGCAGTTTAAGGTTATTCGAGGTGGTTGCTGGAAGAAGATCAATTTTGAAAGGCCTGGATTTCAACTAAATAAAAGAGACGGCTCTCATTCTTTTGTGGCGAGTCCATGGATCCAGCACTTCAGATCTAGGCCTACGTCTTGTGGTATTTCAGCCTCTTGTAGTCTTCAAGATAATGCTTCATCCAAAGGTAATAAAACAAACAATGTTCATTTGTAAGAAATCAGTATCTGTTTAGCAGCTTCTGAAACACTTTCATGCATATGGCAACAAAACAGATCCCTGCAGTGATATTTTGGTGTGTTCGTGATGATGTTATCTAAAATTCGTGTTTTAGGTGCCTGTGGTGGTACCTGACTGACTTGCTTGATATTAGACTTTTAAGGTTGATTTGTCTATGTTTAACTTGAAGTGATATCACTTTTGTTTTCACCTATAATAGAATCATGGTTTATTCAAAATTATCAGATGTATATCATATAGCATGATTAGTATCCTTCTCTATACAGTTGAAAGTGTTGAAGCTTACAATTTGAGTTTGAGTTCAATTCAATTAGTCCTCATATTCATATGGTGGCTCGTAATCATGGGCAGTCTGTGAGAATGAGCGTAGAAGCATACAATCTGAGTTTGGGTTCAATTCAATTAGTTTTCGGGTTCCTTTACATTTAAAAAAAAATATCTAGTCAGTTTGGTGACTTATGGTTTTTGTTAGGCCTAAGGAGGCATACATTTATTTGTTTCTAGTACAATGTCTGCCAATGAATTTGCTATGTTGCAAAAGAAGGGATGCTTAAAGTGGTATCTTCCAATTGTCAAATAATTGAACTCGAAAAGGTTGGTTGGTTTGTTGCAGAGGTGTCGGATCAGAACTTCATAGACGAGAAACAAGGTGAAAGTACTGGCGGTGAATGCGGCCTAAAGAAGCTGAAAACTTTGGTAACTGATGCTTCATACAATGATCAGGTAAAAATGATTAGCATTGATCTTTTACTTATAACATCTAAGATTCTAAAACAATAGGTATATAAGTCACTTATCCTAATCCTAAGCATCTAGCATTTTCTCATTTTGTTTTTAGGTTGTTCCATGAGGTGAAGACTTGAACAGCTACGACGAATAAAAAGTGGGCATCCACCAAAGCAAGTGATTTGTGTGATTGCATCCTGATACAGTGAGCAAACTGATTACATAGACGTTTTTGGTGACTTAAATTTTTAATGCCGAATGCTTTTGTGTTACATGCATATATGTATGCGGCACCGATGACAGAGCCGGAATGATGGGGGTAGTTCATTTAGGGCTTTTCTTCCTGTAAATATAGCAAAGATTGTGGTTAGTATTTTAGTAGTTTTGGTGGAGGATGTTCACTGTTGGTTTGCTGATGGTTCTTTTCTATGTATGCATATATTATTCTACCATATCATGCAGTTGTCCCAGTGTAACAATGATTTGTTGTTAAAGCTATAAAATGGCTAAAAAGTAAAGCAAAGCATGGAATGATGCTTTGCACAGAATTGGTTGATTTTCAAGTGAAATTTGTTGAATCAATTCAGATAAATACAATAACCAAATGAAATTACTACACTAATGACATAAAAATCCTAGTAGTCTCACACTTACCTTAATGGAGTAAATGTGTCATATTTTACATTCTCATTTCTCAGTGAATTTTTCTAAACTCTTAACAACCAACACAGTGAATAATTTACTGATATACTTCCTTCCACTGTTTTAGGACAATATTCCATAGGAAGATGAAAACTCGATACAGAAGGTTTAATGCCTTTATTTGAGTTAATTATTGCAAAATACTCCAGAATTTTATTAATGTATGAAGTCTGAAATAAAGCTATTGTATTGTTCTTTCGATCCTAAGGATTTAAATGCCTAATTTTGAGGTGTTGCAATTTATATGGACCAAAATAACCTTAGCATATATGATATAAGCGACTAAGTGAATGACCGTTAAAAGAAAGATAATAAAAATGATCTAATATGACTGTTTTTTTTAAAAGAGATGAAGATTAATGTATATTAGAGGTGGCAAACGGGTCATTCGGATCGAGTTTGGGTCGGGTTATTTTGGGTTAGATTATATTCGGTTTAATTTTATTTGGGTTGGTTCGGATCTGGTTCTGGTTTAGTTCAAGTGTATGGTAAATCTGGTCGGGTATCAGGTCGGATCAATTTTCGGGTGGGTCACTTTTCGGGTCGGGTGATTATCAGATCAGTTGTTTTTTGGTTCGAATCAATATTGGATCGGTTGACTTTTGAGTCGAGTTAATACCGGATCGGTTAGATTTCGGTTCAGGTCAATATCACGGGTTCAATTTGGGTCAAGCTTTAGATCAGGTTAATTCGAGTTGAATTGGTTATGAGTCTAATCAAGTATATATAGAATTATTGATATATTCTTATAAACAAATATATCTTATTGTTTGTTAATCTTATCATTTAGATAATTAGATTTATTTCTAATTCTCATTCGTTCAATATTTTGAATTAAACCATCATTTAGATATGATAAATTGATAATTTGACATAAATACAATCTATAATGCTTGTTACCAAAATTTTATATTGATATTGTATGGAAAGTTTATAATGATAACTATTTGATAAAGACATAAAATTTTATTTTTAATTATAAATTTATTAATATATAACTTTATGTCTTTTTTTGTTATGCTTTAATGGTAACATAAGTAAATTTTTATTATTTTTATTATAAATCTAATATTTTTATTATAGGTAACATAAGTAAACTTTAGTCGTTTGGATTGCTTTCGGTTCGGGTTACTTTTGGATCGAGTTAAATTCGTTTTGGGTTGCTTCTGATTCGGTTTATTTTTCGGTTAGGACAATTTCGGTCCGGGTTATTTTCGGTTCAGTTCAAATTGGATATGGGTGTTCAACTAATTTTGGATCGAGTATGGTTCGGGTTTCGGATCAAATTTAATCATCATGTTAAAATTAATATTAGATATTGGGTCGGGTAAATCGATTCGGATAATCGCGTTCAGGTCAAGTTTTTGAGGTCTAATGCATATTATAATTATTTTATAAGATAATAAAAATATCTAATATGACAATTTGTTTTTTATAAAGAGATGAAGATCAATGTATGTTATAATTATTTTATATATTGACATTTTGAATATTATTGGAACTCTGGAAGAGTTTTGAATTAGAACTCTTGAAAATTTTCGAAAGCATTCGATTATTTAATGAAAAAACTTAAGATACAAAATAATGGAATCAAATCGGGTACATAAAATATATCTATAAATTGACACATATTAAAAGGATCTTAAAGAAATTCAATATGAATTGACATTTCTTTATGTCATATATTATTACACTTTTATAACACTAGCATATTCTTAAAAATTGAGTAATATGTTTGTAACTTTTAAAAGAGAAATGACTTGTTTACTATTAAATTCACAATTAAATGATATTGGATGTAACCTATCGTTTTTATAATAATATTAACTTTTGATCACATAAAAACATAAAATTATATGGGTAAAGTACACAATAGTCCCTCGACTATAGGGTGATTCTTTGTTGAGTCCCTCGACTATTGAAAGTTACAAAATGTTCCTTCGACTATAGGGTGTTGCTTTGTTGAGTTCCCGACTATTAAAAGTTACAAAATGGTCACTCGACTATTCTTTTCCTTTAAAAAATTGACAACAGTCTAAGTTGGATGTTAATCCGTTGATTGATATGATAGTTATTTTAGATTATGGGATCGGATTTTATCATATTTCAGTCATCAGGTTAACATCCAGCTCAACCGCCGTCAATTTTCAATGAAAAAGGACGAGTTTGAAAAATATTAAATAGTCGCGTGACCATTTTGTAACTTTTAATAGTCGAGGGACTCAACAAAGAATCACCCTATAGTCGAGGACCATTTCTATACTTTACCGAAATTATATCGCGTTCAATGATTACACCGTCATATTTTTAAATAAATCTTAGCAAATTCCAAAAATATAATAAAACTATAAAATCTTATAAAATTATAATAATCTGATACCCATTTCTATGGTCCCAAAATTCCACATATTATATACACACACAGGCGGCTTCATTAGGTGTACCTACATATTATATAATATCAGTGTTCTTTTGTCATGGTTTATGTCACATTTTGTTTGATTAAGTCGTGCCTCACACTTCTTGTAACACAGCAGGAAATCTTCTGGTGGTTGAGACCAGCAATCAAAGAGATTAAATTAAACCAGGGCAGTTAGCTAGAGATAACAACCTAATTGGAATCATTTATTATTATTATTATATTTATGCTTATTGAATTTGGAGTCCTTGGTTAAATGGCTGAAATTTGCACGTGAAAATAGTCCCACTAATCATTTTAAATTTAGTTAATTTATTTTAAAGTTTCGATCAATCAATGACATTGAATTTTAATAAAAGACTAATTTAAGTCTATCAGATCAGATTTCCACGTTTTGTGTGACAAGAAATTATTACCACTCCTTAAAAAGATAAGGACTTGAATTTTACGTCGAAAAAGAAAAGAAAATTTCTCTTTTATAATTTATAAACAGTGATTTTATACGTATTATCAAACATGATTTTTGAGATAATGATATTGTAACAAGTGATACCAGAGTGATTTTTTGACTGCTCGATTTCATATCGAATGCCATAGTTAGTGGAGTAGACGGAATGAATAACTCTAACGATGATTAAAACAATGTCAAAGTGGGGGTTGAATCCCACACCGAAAAAGAAGAAGGGAAATAATAAGGTTTCTAAGCGATTACGATAAGAAAATTTTCCTTTATTTGTACAAAAATCAAGAATTGATCAAAAGATAATTCTTTTGCTGCATATATTGCACAAATAGTATGGTATAGCTATCATCAATACGTAAATTACAACGAAAACGGGATCATCTGTACTGTGTTTCTACAGAAGAAAATTAACAAAAATATTTTGAAACTGAAAAATGAAAAGAAAAAAATCACAAATTATTGATTGATCAAATTTTTTCGCCTTGGATCTGTAATTTTAATCTTCCAATGCTTATCTTTCAACCCTGCATCTTTAGCCTTCTTTCTATCCCAGTCCAACTCAATCCTTCTTCGCTTCGTTAACCCACAAAAGTTCTGCAATTTTTCATCCATGGCGTCATAAAACTTCCACCATCTCTTGTGTGCTACATCACTTGCATAAACATGGTGATCCCTTTTGTTCCAGTTACAATCATAGTCCCTGTAACAAAGCCAAGGCTTCAACCCCAAGTAATGTATGGAGTAAAGCTTCGGTGGGTTAGCTCCAAAAAGCTGCTCCTTTAAACCTCTTTCTTTTGTGTTATCAGACCAAAAATTCTTGAGGAAATTCACTCTTCTCGGCAAACGATGCCACCATACGAACATTTCATTCAGAAAACCTTGGTCCCCTCCATTGTACGAGAAGATTTCTTCACGTTTATTCATTAAGAGCTTGAACGTGCAATTCGATGGCTCGATCACCATAATGCCAGAATTGAATATCCAAAAGTCGTTGCCTGTTGCTGTCATTTGAGGGAACTTGAAAAGGTGGTCGAGGTTTCGTAACACCATGATGTCTGCATCGATGAATATGACCTTTTCGTAATCTGTAAGCTGCCACAGCCTTAATTTGCTGTAGTTGTATTCGTTGTATGTGTGTTTTTCGGCTCGAGGGTTTCGGATTCTCTTTATGAACCGGAGCTTCCATCCGGCCGCCTTGAGAGCGTCGAACCTTGGTTTCGAGATGGAGTTGTCGAGGAGAAGGATGAGGTCCCGTTTGGTGCCGGTTTTTAGGAGACTTTGGGCGAGGGTTATCGCACCACAAACGTACGTTTCTGATGAATGTAGCACCGTGGCATAGGCTTCACGTTTGGTGTTCCTTGTTGCATGTTTGATCTTGGAGACATCAAACACTTCATCGTTTCCTGAAATTATGTATTCATTTTCTTCTTGTTATTGAACCATTCTAACACCTAGTTAAAAATACTCAAATATCGGATCCGCGTAATTGCTTCTATATGATATATATATATATATATTACAGTTATAACAACTACTACTTGTCTTGGACTTTGTCAGCAAGTAACGTCAAATTTAGAATTGGTATTTGGAAGTTCCTAATTATATTAAAATCAACATCAATGATCCAACTAATCCTTATGTTAATTCCTACTCTTAATTATTTCCATAATAATTTCTTCATCCTTTCATTTTCATCTGCCAACTTTTGTTGTTCAAGTCAACTGGTTGCAGAAAGCTCAGTAGGTGTAATTTTTTTTAGCAGAAATGGTGAAGAATTTTGAAAGCAAAGCATCTTACCTCGGCTCCATAATGGCAACGCTAGCTTGCAGGAACCAACAGGAAATGCAACTTTTTGTTCTAATTTCGCGACTTCTGGTTC